CTGAAATCCACGCGGCTGTTTTGGCCACGCGATGATAAATTCCTGGTTGATGGTCCACTGCGCAGCCAAAGCCCGCGGATGTGATGCCGATCAGTGTCCACCGTCCTCTGTCGTTGACTATCAACGGGCTTCCGGAGTCTCCCTGTGGAAGAGAAAACTCCGTGACATTAAAATACATGGACATGACAGCAATTATTCCTTGCATTGTTAACAAATGTAAACTGATCACAAAATTATCTTTCTTAGAGCGTAAACCTTTGCATATCCCGAAGCTTCCTTATATATTTGTGAAAATCAACAACCTGGATGCAAATGTACCTCTAGAATCTTTCTTACATTATTCTAATGAATTTGGTTTGAAGAGCAGCGTGGTAAACAAAGAAAAAAATAATTTCATGGATGCCCTCATTCTTTTGAGGGCAATTCTACCAGTCGTTCAGCCCTCGAAATTACTTTGCTCTCATCTCATTATTGCTAACCTCACAGTGACCATGAGCCGGATGTAAAAATTAAGGCGTGACGCGCCTCATCTTCTATAACCCTTCACAGAGAGTCAAGCCAGGAGTAGCCTTGCCCCCGCTATCCCCTTCCAACATCTACAATTCTCGATCACACTTGACCTGAATAGGAAAAACATGAAACTATGCCTCGCCTAGTGCTACCTCATTGAGCTATAAACTAGACAAATGTTCTTTCACGGTTTTATTTTCCGGAACCAGCAAACTCTGACGGCCTCCTACAATATTTCAATATATCCCTCACAGTAATCTTAATTGTGCTTGCTGGTTGATCTTAACAGGACATGAAGATATACAAATGTCAAGGAACTGCATACAATTCCTAACTAACCTCACAAGTGCTGTATAAATTTCTTCAACATGCATTTTCTGTCCTTTCCTTGCACCTACAGAAATGTTTTCCTACGCGAAGTTCTGAGATATCTAAAATTAATCAGTTGGCAGTTTATGGAAATAAAATATTGGTTTTAAACTCCGGGGGTCTTGATTCATTGACTTGTCCTAAAACTGTTGTCATGTCTGCCACAGGGACTTCAGTTTTTAACACCAATGCCTCAGCCTCTTTAAATTCAACACAAGTAAAAGAAAGGCTCAAAATTACTCCATTCTTGCTTATTTTACATGGATGACTAACACTTTCTCTCATAAACAATACTTCGATTTAAAGGAACATTGCTAATATTGGAGACAACTCTCTTGCTAAAAGTTTGTTTTGCATACCGCAATATTATTCACCCAGTAAGGTTTCATCTTGATTAGAATCACAAATTTAATCATAGCAAATTTCAATGCATGAAATGTAAATGGAGAGAGACCTTGGTCATACGTTATTATATCCATCGTCTANAGCGTTGCTCACCAAGCAAGCGTCCATCTTGCCGTCCATCCAACCAGCACACGTCATTTCGTCGTGCAGTGCCACTCGAATGTTCTTGAGTCCGTGCCACTTCTTGCACTCCCTGTTGCTGATCACAGGCACTGGTACTTTGTTCAGGATGTTCGTCCCTGTCTTCCCTGCAAGCCAAACAAATAAAAACTGTCAGCTTACAGAAGTCAAATGATTCCGTTAACTTCTAAACTCGTTCTTATTTTTCTGCTCCGAGTTGTAAATCCGAGGCAAATGGTTTCAACTACCATAACAGCAGTGCCACAAAACCAGAAGCTGTACTTTCTAGTACTATGAGCAGAATCACGCAATGGCATTTATGTGTGCAATAAAAACTAAATATTACTCCGAGTCCTCCTCCTACTCCTCACAGTACTGTGCATTTAGCTTTTTAGGATACAGTAGCGTTTACATTTTTATTTATTAATGCATTCGATCTAAAGAATAGTTTTATTCATTCGGGGCATGCCGTAAGTGAACAGGGGTTTTCCCCCACTACCAAGCAAGACTATCTCTGTAGTCACGAGAACCGTATTCAAATTCAAAGGATGAGTGAAAGGCACGAATTGTACACCTGTTCGTTCCACAAAATTATGAAATTTTGCAATTTAGATACATTACGCAAGTGAGTAAGTTATGAAGAAAAATGCAAGGGGTGAGTTTTCAAGGCATGACATGAATTCCTGAGATTTTGAGGCATCAGCTCAAGAGGTTATGAGTTTGTACTTATTGTAGTGAAATGTACTACGGGATTGCTTCCAAAGAATAGAAATGGTTCTGTATCAATTGTTGCTATAATATTTATGTACCACATCAAGACATACTCTATATTTCCCGTATTCATAGTTTTTCCTTCTGAAAAATCTTCCCTTTGAAAAATGTTGTTCCTGAAATAATTTCCTCTATTTCTAGGACAATACACTATGACTGAATTCCTGCAAATCTTCTCATGATGGATTTGAATTCATTACAAATTTTCATCTTAGCTTCCTCTCAATAAAGTCTCAACATTAAAAATTTGTAATTAAAAAATTTTCATTTCCCAAAATTTCATTTCGCAATATTCTAATGTTTTGATCATACAAAGCATTTTTGTGGTTTTGTAGATCTGCTATCAATTCAGTTTATGTAAGACCAAATTCTTTCTGCAATGATAGCATTTTTAACCCCACTAGATACAGTATACGCATGCCAAGTATATCAAGCTGTATAGGGTACTTTACTGTACATTGTCACTTTACCTCCTGTTGGAAAAAAATTGCAATTTTATAGATTTCACCCAATGAATCATTTTCAAATCTAAAATATTTGATTATGTATCTCCTTCACGAATGAACAAATTTTTTTACAAATCAAAACTACTCATCAATTCAGTGAAATTTTAAGCTATTTTAGGATAGGACTCGTACTACTGTTTTTTTTTTATGAAATGCCACCAATTGTGCTAATTGGTAATCTTTTTGGTTGGACCCCAGTTTTCTAAAGCACAGCACAGAACACTGTTCGAGACGTTCACGGTTATTTAGAATACCGTATACTTTCTAGTGGGTCTTTCAAACGGGATTTGAATATGTAGTGATACAAAATCATGGCTGGTTTTTATGAGCACAAGGTCCTTCCTTCCTTCCTTCAAGCCACAAACGTTATCCCGAAGATCTGAACTAACTGCAGAAGTCTTGCAAGGCAACATCTTGGTCATTTACCATAGGAAGTGTCAGTTTTGCCCCAACCAGCGACAACGCCCATCATTCCTTCGAAATCCGCTTCTGGGTCCGAGGGGAGACAAATTGGCAAAATGTTTGCCCTGTAGTTCACGGGTCTGTCCAACCTTAGCAGCGCCACGTCAAACCTAAAAAAAAAGAAGAAAATTGATCAAATAAAGGCCAGTTCCAATAGGAAGAGATGAGACAAGAAAGCCCAGGAGAAAGTCTCGCGGTCAATCCCGGTGACTCGCTGACAATCCAGAGAACTCATCAAATATGCAAAGGTTAACAATGGATGATCATGAGTGAGTCCAGCAGCAAGTGGTCGGATCGAGATCGATCAATTATACTCTTTGACACCTGAACCAGATGAGAGGAGGAAAAAGTCAACGACCTGACCCAAATCCCATGAGTGTCCCACCCTCTTGATCGGTTCCTCTGAGGAGTGACAGATGTCACTGGCAGCATGGATAATGGATGCCTTATAATATACAAAA